CATCCCATCATTCAATGTTCAGTGTTCAATCCTGATCCTGGGGACCCCCCATCCCTGCTCCAACACACCTGATTCATATGATCAACTGGATGTAAACTGCTGCAGCTGCTTGAGAACAAGCTGATCATTTGAATCAGGTGTGTTGGAGCAGAGAGGTATCTAAAACCAGCAGGGGGTCTCCAGGACCAGAGTTGAGAACCACTGCTTTAACATGATTGCCCTAACAAAAGTGGTCTAACTGAATAATGTTGCCCTGAGGCAATGAATGAATGAATGAAAAAATATATTAATGAAAAGGTAAAGTAAATGAAAACAAAATATGTCTTTAAACAACAAACATACTTCTTTACATACATAAAAAACGCATCCCATGTGACTTTAAATCCTAAAAGGATTTCTTCACACTGTGAAATGTTAAATCCTCTTCTGTTCCTCTTTGTATTGGACAGACACCTTTCTTGTGGCATTATATTTAAAAAAATAAAAATAAAAATTTAAAGAGACAGTGTAATAACGAAAAAGTGTTTTGTTGCCTGAGGGCAACACCATGCCAAAACTTCTCAGGCATATAATGTATATTCCTAATGTATTTATGAAATATATTTTTGCAATGTATGAAAATGGCCAAATGTATTTGTTTACTTGAATTTGTTATATTCAATACATTTTCAATTTTAGGTAGTTTAACAAAGGTTACAGATATAACTAAGTGGTACTGACTTCTGTGTTTTGCATGGTATTTCACCTTGTATGTATGTGGTAAGACAGCACTTACACAAAATGTATTACAAAAAACAGGATATCAATGAATCGAATTACTGTGTCAATCTCTACAACACAAATTCATTTCAAAAGGTATTCCAAACAATAGTCCATAAGACAATTATTGTGGCTATTTTCATACATTTGCAAAAGTATTTGATGAATATATTTATGTACATTTACTTTTGTATGGTACATTTCTGTGTGTAAAAGTTCCCCATACATTTAAAAATAATTGCATTTTAAAACCTATTTGGTTAAGATGGCAATATATTCTGAAACACATTTTAGTGTTTAGAATGTATTTCAGCATGGATGGCAACATATTATACATACATACATACATACATCATCTAAACCTCTTATCCTTCTGGGTCGCGGTGGGGCAACATATTATAATCATACAAAAATATATGCTCATTTATTATTAGTCTTTTTCATATAGAGTTTATGAGTTACACCTACCTTGTACCTCACACTGGCCATTTCATCCTGTACATCTTAGTAAACTCTGACTTAACCAGTTCATCTCCATGCTTGAATTTTTACATGTCCCTTACCGCAGTGGCTCTTAGAGCTTCACTGAGCACAGATCTGAAAACAAAATCGAAACTTTACATATTTTCATGAAACATCAATGTTTTGTTTAACACAATTTGATCATTTTTTCACAAAATGATTAAATGGGCCAATATCTCAGCAAATCACCGTCAACATTTTAATTACTACCTCACACACACACACACACTTAAGTAGTGGTTGTTTAGTCTTCTGTGAAGAACTTTTGATTATTAATAAACATTTACATACACAATTACCAAAGGGTACTCCTACCTTATCTGCTCTCACTGCCCATTTTATTACATCTACTATATAGATATACAATTACAGACTGTAGCCCACCTGTTCCTGCACAGGTTATTAGCCCTTCTACTCCATTCTTCAACCCAAATAATATCAAGACCACAGGGGTTCTGTTTGTCCAGATATTATTTGGGTGGTGGACTATTCTCAGTAAACTATACTCAATAAACTATTGTTTTATGTTGGTACGAGTGTATCAGACACTATAGTGTTGCAGCTGCATAATCCTACGTTGTTTTAAACAGACCATTGTTTTAACTGTAGTCCACTATCAGCTCCTTAGTCTTGCTGACGTTAAGGAGGGGATTATTGTCCTGACACCAGTTCTCCAGGCGCTTAATCTCCTCCAGGTAGGCCCTCTCATCATTGTCAGAGATCAGACCTACTACAACAGTGTCATCAGTGAACTTGACAGTGCTGGTAGAGCTGGAAGTGGCCACGCAGTCATATGTATTACACTGATATCTGCATTATACTGTGTAGTTGAAATGTAGTCCCATTTGTTAAACAGGAAACAGTGCCAACACTTATTTTCTATATCCAAATCTGACAAGCTTTGAGATAATACAAAAGATTACTAAATGAAAGTGTATTAATATATTGCAAAAAGCTTATCACAGACTCTAGCGATAACTTCTCATACTGCCATATCTTTTTAATCCAAATGTTTTCTGTGCAAATATTTTTCAAGGGCCCACAGTAGCAGATAAAAATATGCTAAGACTGACTATGCTAAGACTGACTATGCAATTTCTAGACACAGTGCAGATAGATCTTATCACAGTACATTAAATCTGGTGTAAGGATATTCAAGGTTACAGCTAGATGAATGTGCAGTACCAGATATTGGCACAGAAATTGGCACACTGGGTCTGTTTTTACTTTATTTACAATTAAGAGAAAGAAAATGTTCTGTAGCACAAAGTTCATCTCATTACAGCTGTTCTGCATGCCAGTCTTTGGGTCATTCTACCACTGAAGTGACAAACGGGGTATGATTTGTTTCAAAATGTTGATATGTAACATTTAAAATATAGTCTGTTATATTCAGCATCATTTCATCACGGTAGATCCAGAAAAAGGAGAGCTTCACAATTACGACACACACACATGCACACACATACTATGATGCACCTACATCGGATTCATACAAGCTAATATGGATTAATATGGAGCTAAAATGGCTAAAACAGCCTCCACAAGGCTTTCCGCAAGATTTGGAGAGTGTGCCCATTCAGTTAAAAGAGAATTTGTAAGGTCAGGCACTGTTGTTGCACAAGAAGGCCTGGCTTGCAATCGATGTTCCAATCAATTTCAAAGGTGTTTAGTGTGGTTCAGTTCAGGGCTCTGTGCAGGCCCCTGGACTTTCTCCACATCAAACCCTTGTTTGTGCATAGGTGCACAGTCATGCTAGAACAGAAAAGGGTCTTCCTCAAACTGTTGCCACAAACTTGGAACATATAATTGTCTAAAATGCCTTTTTATGTTGTAGCCAACAATCCAAACCCTAAAAACCTTTACTGTTGGGTCTATGCATTCCAAGAGGTAGCATTCTCCTGGCATTCACCAAACCCTGATTTGTCCATCAGACTGGAATTCATCACTCAGGAACACATTTCCACTGCTCCAGAGTGGTGAAGTGCTTTCCACCACTCTAGTCGAAGCTTAGCATTGCGCATTTTGATCTTAGGCTTGTGTGCTGCTGCTCAGCCATTTTATAAACCCATTGCATAAAACTCCCAACATGCAGTTCTTGTGCTGATGTTGCTTCCAGAGGCAGTTTGGAACTCTGTAGTGAGTGATGCAGAGGATAGGTACTACGCGCTTCAGTAGTCAGTGGTCCTGCTCTGTGAGTTTGTGTGGCCTTTGTGGTTGAGAATAATAGCACTTACAGTTGAGCAGGGGAGATCAAGCAGGACAGAAATTTCACAATCAGGCTTGCGGAAAAGGTGACATCCTATGACAATGTCATGTTTAAAGTCACTGAACTCTTCAGTATGACTCATTCTACTGCCAGTATTTGTCTATGGAGATCATAAGGCTATGTGCTTGATTTCATCCACTTGTTAGCAACAGGTGTGTCTGAAACACCTGAACACACTAATAAGAAAAGGTGTTTACATACTTTCGGCCATAGATATATGTTAATTTTAATAATATATGTTTTTTGTAGCTTTGTAACAAAAGCTAGGACAGAATAATAGAATAATATTTACATCTATACATTTTTGCACATGGAAAAAGCAAAATTTTTAAATTAATCCAATTTTTGTTTTACATAAAATGAATGCTACTGCATCTGTGACATGCTGTTTTTCAACTGTGTTCTTTTAACAAAATGTCTAAAAATCACTAAAATAAAAATATAAATAAAAATACAATCATAACTTCTTGGTTAATTCAGGATAATAGAATAAATATAATTCAGCAATATGTGGCTCACAACATACAAATGCAAACTAAAATCTTAAGATCATGGAATGGCCCAGAATCATTTAGCTTCTAAAATGGTAATTCCACTAATTTTTGGAAAATTTGGCTAATTGAGTGGCTAAGATGTAAACAAAGTCATTCAGAATGTTTTGATGTGAAACGCTCTGTTCTAGAGAACCTTACAGAGTCAGAGTTGTTCACAGTGGTGGTGATGGGAACCAGATGTCTGAAGAGCTTAATGCCTCTAAAATACAATTATTACATGAAATGGTTACAAATACATTGACTGATAGCTGAGACGGTCACATCTCAGAATATTCATGTAAGTTCACTGGCTGTTTTAGACCGTTAATAAAATTGGCTATATTTGTGTTGTAGACACTGCGACCCCTGGTTCCTCTCACTGTCACTGTGAGCCGGTAAATATCTCTGCAATGAACCATTTCACATCAAACCACAGTTTGTTTACATCTCAACCTCTGAATTATGCAGAAGTTTTGAAAAAGCCTTTTGAGTTCCCCTTTAAGGTTTACTTAAAAATCGCATTTATGTTTAATGCCTACTGTACTGTCTACATATAGAGATGTATTATTGTCAAATCTATGCACAGTAACTTCGAATTTTGCCTCAAAGATTTTAATTAATGACGCCTTTTAAGATTAAGATCCAAATAAACCAAAGCAAAGGTAAAGCAGAAGCAAAATGAATCTTCTTTAAACAACTATAAAATAGTTACTACCAGATGCAGGCTGCAGAATATAAAACGCTACTATGGCGCCCTCTAGTGATACCACGGTTACCATAAATAAAAAGTAGTTCTCTAAAATCTCTCTAAATTGATTTAGTCCAAGTACGGCGAGCAAACATTAGCAATATTGGAATAAGATACATATTTAAACGTATACATATTAGAAAGGGTGATTTTTATTGTCATTTGGCAGAAAAGTAACAGTCAATATTGTTCTTATAATCAGGCAAAGGAAGGGCAGCCTAGCGGCTTCTTCCACGTGTTGCAGGACCCCAAGATGTCCATGCTTGCTGAGCGTGAGTTAATAGTTTGGTTTGCTTTATTTTAGTGTTTGTTGTTCTTTGGGTTTTTATTTAAAAGTGTGTGTGCGGTATAAGGCTCTGTGTGTGGTGACATGCTTTAGTCGAATCGATTTGCTTTTAAAAACTATTCAATCCGTCCGTCTGTTCAGGTTAGCATGATATGCTAGCTAGCTAGCAGTAAAGCTGTCTGTCTGTCATTCTTAAGCCTTTCATGCTTTTTGTCTATGCGAGTATCTTAGAGTTCGCACAGGGTCTTCTTTACTCTGTTTTACCGTAATTTACTAATCATGCTTTTAGACCAGAGCTGTCAAATTCAAATCCCGGATGGCAGCAGTGCTGAGCTCAGTTCACACGGCTAGATCGACTCATGTAGAGTTTAAAGGGGAATTCCACCCATTTAACAAAAAAATCTTCATAACTCTCTTGTCAAGATGTAAACAAAGTCATTCAGAGTGGTTTGATGTGAAATGGTTCACTATAGCGTAACTTACAGGCTCAGATTTCTTTACAGTGGTGGTGATAGGAACCAGGAGTCGTGATGACTGCAACGCAAATGTAGCCATTTATTTACTGTCCAAAACGACCAGTGAACTTGTCTTCTGAGTTTTTATATGTAACGACAGTGGTTGGATTTGTTTTTTCTCAAATTATCTTGGGATAATTATGTCGGCATAATTATCTCAAGATAATGAGAAGTTATCTCCAGATATATAGGGAAAACTGAAGCGCATTACTCACTCTGTCCATTCAGGCAGCATTCCGCCCACTGTTATCTCCCCAAGCCCACTGCTCATTTTTTCAGAGGTGCTGAAAGTTGTATATCATGATTGGACCTATTCTAATGGAAACTGTCTGCTGAATAGCACTTTATTTTGAACTCTGTCTCAAATACAAAGACATTTGTTTCAGTGATTGCGAACACACATATCAAAGTGTCATGAAATGTGTTTTAAAACGCAACAAACTGTGTCGGTGGAAGGGTGCCACAAATACATCCAAGGAACTGTTTTTTGTGTATGTGTTTAGAGAATAACCTTCATGTCCAAAGACATCCAGAACATTATCCTAGGAAAAAAGTGTCTGGAGATAAGTATCTGTATTATCTGGAGAAAATTAATTTGAGAAAACAAACAAGAAATGCAAGAAATCATAAGAATAAAGAAGTGATTTTTTCCTGTGTTCTTTCAGAGGATTTTATAACTTTCTGTGAGGTGGATTTCAGAGACATTAAACTCTTTCAGATGTCTGGTTCCTATTGCAACCTCTGTGAACAGTTCTGATTCTGTAGGTTTTTGTAAAACAGAATTTTCTATCAAATCTTAATGATTTAAATAACTTATGAAAAATGAGTGGAATTGCCCTTTAACTTAAGTATGTCAAATTCGGAACAAGAATAAAGTCTGCAGGGCAGTGGCTCTTTATGACTAGAGTCTCACACCTCACCACTTAGACCAGGGGTCATCAGTTCAGTCCTTTAGGGATAGCCAAGAATATGCACTCTCCTTTTTCGATCTGATACCAAGTAAAAATTCTGATGATATTCTGAAACCAGTGCTGATACTGAATTTTTTTAAGTTTATGCGAATAAAGGGAGAATTGTGCGTCTAATGAGGCTGTCTGTGTTTGTGCACACTAGAAGGCAAAAGCAGTTCTTATCTACACATTTATTTGCTATGGACCTTTTTCAGCATCAAAGACATGTTTTGTAAAAAAACAAAAATCAATTTACTGCTGAAAGAACATACAGTTATCAGTGTTTTGGGTGAGAATTAATTCTCAAGACGGAGTTTCAGGATTGGAAGTGGATCTGGCCACTACTACTTCAAGGCCTGTATAATATAGTATCCATAAGATCATAGTAAATTAGAGAGGAATCTGTTCTCAGGTCAGCACTCCTATTTTGAGCTTTGGAATACAAGCCCAGTACAGTTTGGTAAATCCTTCCTTAGACACACCTGATTAAACTCTTCAGCTAATTACCTGGTTTGGTAGATGTGTTCAGGGCTGCTTGGTTATGGCAAAAATCATAATCACAACTATTTTGGTCAATATTGAGATCATGTTTATTTATTGACTTATCTGGAAATATCATGCATTTACTAACCTTAAAAAACTTTAACAGATTGAATTTCAGATGATTAAACAAATTGGTGGTATTACCTTGTGGTCCAGACACCACAGTGTAACAGTATTTGTTGCTCCTCAGCGGAATTTTTGAATCTGTATTTCCAAGCAGCTGAATGTTTTACCAAAGGCTCTCTTTCCATCTTTTTGGCTTGAGCTGAGCTAAACATGCAACAGCCTGGCTGAAAGTGAGTTTGAGCTTCCAGACAGAACGAGAGCACCACTGTGAAACATAATGAGGCACAGTAATCGTTTTACCTCAGGTATCTTGTGTTTGTAATCAAAACCAAAATCATAATAAAAATAAAATTTGATTAACCACCCAACCCTGGTTTAAGCAGGGACAAACTATGCTGTACACCGACCCACCAGTACTGGGATTGATATTTTATGTGGCCTCAGACTTTCAGAGAGGCTGTTGGATAATTTGATATGATTTCAGTTGCAGTTGTATCTGGTCTAAACAAACTTGGAAGTTTCTTGCTGTAGTCAGCAGTTTATAGGTAGATATCTTGGCCTGCTTATCTCTGTTTTTATTAGCTCGCCGAAAGCAGAAGTGGTCTGTGGACCCGAGGAACAGCACTTGGAGCAAAGATGAGTCCAAGTTTGGCCAGAAAATGCTGGAGCGAATGGGCTGGTCTAAAGGAAAGGTAATATATTGCTTATATCATCACCTTAATCTACACAGTATCTTCCACTTTTTTAACAGACTACATTATGCATTATATAAATTTGTAGACACCTGCTTATCCAGCATTTCTTCTGAAAACAAGGACGTTACTAGGGAATTTGTCCCCCTTTACAGCAGTAACAGCCTCTGCTCTTCTGGGGTTATATAATTTTCCTATTTATGTGTGATTTTCTTGTTTCTATGCTGGAAAACAGTATTTTTCACGTGATTGGTTGTTCAGCCTGTACATCACAAAGGGGTTGCTGTGACATTCTTGGTTGCAGATGTACATGATGAATAAAAATTTCAAAAGATATTCTGATAATAACCTCCAGTTATCAGAATGTTCCTGATTAGTCTACAGTCCAAAGTTAATCTGCCCCAGAGCAAATTAGGCATGCAGCAAACGTTGCTATGGCAGTGTATCCTGGCAAAAAGTGATCCACTGTTGCATGACACAAAATTTGGCCTTAGATTGAACTACGCTTAAGGTTATCTGGCAAAGCAAGAAATCATGCTGTGTGAAACAGGACCTTGACCTGTCAAACTCACTGTTGACCTACAGAGTTTATTGCTTAACCTGCTCCAACATGGCTTTTTCGTGAGCACTTTGTAGCTAATGAGTTGAATCACATTTGTTCAAGGACACCAAATTTGCACCAGTTTTTTTTTTTTCCAATTCTGCATAACTGACAGGTGAAGATAAATACAAAGTCATTCAGAGTCCTTTGATGTGAAATGGTTCATAGTAGAGAAACTTGCTGACCTGCCTTTCTTTACAGTTGTGGTGATTGGAATAGGGGTTGTGATGTCTACATTGCAAGTATAGCCATTTTAATTACTTTCTAAAATGACCACTGAACCTACACATGCCTTGTGAGTTTCATATGTAAAGTTGATAATGGAAAAATAGTTGTAAAACTTTAAAGGAAATTAATTTCTTTGGGCACTTACATGTATATGTATTTTGAAAAGTAAGTTTTAGACCAAAACCCTGTTGTAAAATCGTGTTCGTGGCATTAGGTAGCATATCTGTAGCCATTTCATGTAAAAGCTTTCAGTGAGGCATCTTTTAGAGGCATTAATTGGTTCAGGTTTCTGCTTCCTGTCACCACCAATTCAGAAAGTTTCTCCAGAATAGAGGATTTCATCAAACCGCTCTGAATGACTTTGTTCAAATCTAAACTGTTTGATGCTAAAATGTTGAAAAATCCCCTTTTTTTTAATAATGAGGAACATGAAACCCTATAGTGCTGTGATCCTCCATACACTTATTGATCAAACTGTGCAGTATACAAGATGTCATTCAGAGAATGGACAATAAAGGTTTGAAGAGGTCAGTTGATTGTGCTGGATCATTTGCCATGAGGGCACTGTGCCTGGCATTAGGGTCACATTGTTCTGAGTGTCTTCCAGTTTAAGACTAGGCCTTCTTTGTTTGTTTGTTTAACCAGAAAACAAGCTCTTGCTCAATCTGCTCAGATGAAGACTGTTAACTTTGTAGGGCAGTGATGTAATATGGATAATATTGTTGTATTCTTTGTTGATCTTACAGGGTCTTGGCAAAAATGAACAGGGTGGCACAGAACACGTCAAAGTTAAAGTGAAGAACAACAGTTTGGGTGTAGGGGCCACAGTCTACAACGAGGTGAGATTCTGTGAATCTTTAGTAAATCCTGATTCTTGTATTTTTTTCTAAACATTTTAATCACATCAGTAATTACATTTTAAGGCTGATTAATATTTAAGCTGATTGTGGTTTCTAGGATAACTGGATTGCCCATCAGGATGATTTTAATCAGCTTCTTGCTGAACTCAACGACTGCCATGGCCAGAACAGCGCTGAAGGTAACTCCTGCTGACAAGTTGTCGTGAAGATAATAAAGAAAAACATTAATAAAATAGATACATGACACTTAATTTAAAAAGGTTACATGTTTTTTTTTTTGTTTTTTTTTGTTTTTTTTTAAGGATTATGAGGTAATAGTTATATTTTTGTTTATTTCTCCCACATCCTCCAACTGCCACTTGGTGGTGCTGTTGTAACACACAGGACTCGGTGGATGGGGTGATTTACTGTGTCACACTGTGAACTATCTAGTTTACTGTTGCGGTCTAGTTACTAAAATTCATAATTCATGGAACAGATTTGCAGGCACCTAATTATCATGCAGTTTAATGATCGAGCCTGCTCTTTTCCTCTTGGTTTAGTTCATTAGACAGTTATCAGGACCTTGATGAGATGAAATCAAGGTTTATTCTCTTCAGTGCTGCGCTATGACAACTAGAGTAAGGAATAATGTCAAATACCCTGCCTTGCAAAAGTATTCAACCACCTAAAAAGGCATCAGATTTGTTTGGATTACAAATGATATACAGATTTGTCCAGCCAGTATTTGAACTGAAAATCAATATGCTCTTAAAGTTTCAAAGTCAAAAAATTCATTGTTTGTCCTCAGGTTTAAAAAAAATAATACAATTGAAAGTGCTGCTCGCATAAGTGTTTAACCCCTTCAGACTAGTACTTGGTAGAACCATCTTTTTCTGCAATATCAGCAACTTATTGGGGTAAGTTTCTATCAGTTTTGCACACTTTTCGGGAGTAATTTTTACTCGTTCTTTGTTTTTTACTTCAGGATTTACTCCAGGTTGTTCAAGTTGGTTCAATGACGCTTGTGGACCACTGCTTTCAAAGTGCTGCAGATTCTCAGTTGAATTGATATCCGGACTCTGACTAAGCCATTGTAGAACATTCACCTTTTTGTTGTTCATTGTTGTCCACCACTCTTGTGCTTCTTTGGCTTTGTGCTTGTGATCCTTTTTGCACTGAAAAGTGTCTTCCAAGTTTTCGTTTTTTAGCAGACCAAACCCGGTTGCTTTCTAGGATCTCCCTGTATTTTGCACAATTAATTTGTTCTTCAATTGTAACAAGATGCCCAGTCCTGGCTGAGGAAAAGCATCCCCACAACATGATGCTGCCATCCTCATGCTTCACCTTTGGGATTGTGTTCACTGAGGAATGGACAGTTTTTATCACACATAGCATTTAGAATTTTGGCCGAGAAGCTTAATTCTTGTCTCATCTGACCATAAAGGCTTATCAGACATTTTAGCTGGGTCACTTTGATGGCACACTGCAAACGTGGCTTTTCTTCAGCAGTGGCTTCTTTCTGGTCACTTTCCCATACAGGCCAGTTTTATGCAGAGCTCTTGATATCGTTGACCGGTGCACATTTACTTCAGTCCCTTGTTGCTCTCTGATGGTGAGTTTTGAGGGACAGCCTTGTTTGGGCAGTGCCTGGGTGGTATGTTTGAGCTTCCTTTTCCTCACAATTGATCCAGCAGTGCTCACTGGGATATTCAAACACTTGGATATTATTTTATAGCAGCTGTTTTTTTTAATTAGTACTTTTGCACATATGTTCCTTACATAAACCTACATCACTAAATCAATTTAATTATGAGGGCCAGGCTGTTAAAATTAAAATGACGCAGCACAAAATGTCATAGTGGAAGTTGTAATCCAGATAAATCCAATGACTTAATAGGGTTGCATACTTTTACAAGCCGCTATATATTTGTTGTGACGGCACAGTTCAATTTAACACTGAAATGTCATTTTCTGTGTGTTTAGAAGCCGCCAAGGAACAGACACAAGGATTCAGTCTGGAGGAGAAATCCAAGACCTCCAAAAAAAGGGTCCATTACATGAAATTCACCAAAGGTATGACTGTCATACTGTCAGCATTATCAGTTCAGTTGGCTTATATTAATGGCCACTGTTTTGTTGGGCCCAGATGCTGATCATTTGAGATTTTTTTTTTATCCCTTTATCTGCAGGTTTGTTTTTCAAGGCATAATAAAACATATCCTACTCAATCTTGTTCATTCAGTAACTAATAGGCATTGGTGATATCTTAAAATAATTAGTCCAGTATTTTCTAGTTAAAAAAATCACGATTGCCATCATGCTGCTTGTCCATTGCCAATGATATGTGATTTCATCAGCCATCACCCAGGTTCTTTGACTACTATGAATTATTTGGTAAGTACTGTGAAAATATGTAGCTGTGAGAGTGAGGACTTGAGGAGTAGGCTTGCATATAAACTCTTGAAATTTAAGATGTTAAGACATGTTTTTAATGAATGATTATTAATTATTGTTGGTTTTCTGAAGTAGTTGTAGTTTGTAGTAGGGGAATTCTCATAGTTGTTCCATCTGTATGTAGACACTAGAAGTGTATGAAGTGCTAAGTCTGTAAGGCTGAAATTTTTGAAAAAAGCTTAAAAGCAAGTTCCCTGAAAAGAATAGAAGCTTTAATAAAGGCAAAGGATGGGCATACTGAATACAAAAAACAAATGTTGTATTTAGTTGTTGAGGCTTCTGTGTAATTTTGTTAAATGTTAACATTGGCAGAACAAAACCTAAAGTTTCCACGTCTGTTGTTCGATTTAATTACAGATTATATATAAATATTAGATTTTGAAAATGCCAGCTGTTCTTTATGTCTTGAAATTACATGATGAATGGAGCAATAGAAATACTCTAAAATAACACTTTAATGAATCTTATTTTAACTTATATTCTCCTGTAAACCTCTCCTGTACAGTACTGTGCAGCACTCACCTCTGACTAAACCTTTTTGGTTAACGACATGCTCCTTCTCCCTTCCTCTGCATGTGAGGGCTTGAACCTGGAGTTCTTTGGCAGCAGGAGTAGGAGCAGCTCATGGGTCAGTGCTGCAGTAGGTCAGCTTGCCAGCACAGTGCGGTCAGCTTAACCAGAGAACAACCTCGGGAATAGAGAGTGGCTTACAACCCACCTGGACAATTAGCCTGGAACGTGCCAGGAGCTTCTAACCTTCATCACTTGTACAACGATAAACACACTTGTGTTTTTCCATTGATTTGAATGTTTAAAATTGCTGCAGTCGGTGACACACAAGCATGTCTGTCTTCATGACCTTTTCAGTGGTCATATTTTTAGTGACTCTTGCTTACCCCTGACTTGATGTTTTTTATTTTTTTTTGAAAAATCCCAGGAATGTGGGGAAAAGGGCTCTCATCTCTTATCACCTGACAAGTTACCGTTGCACAAGGCTTAAAAGCATGACTTCCTGTTTCCTGTGAGGAGTGCTGGCCGATACATTTGCAGCTCAAAATGGCCTCAATCAGTGCCTGATGAGTCTTGCAGATAATGCCGAGCATGGGTGCATGCTGCTGTTGTTGTCTGTGATTTCAGGTCCTTTATTTAGCCGAGAGACGGAATGTTGTCCCTACAGAGAGGGTGAACATGGATGTCCTCAGAAATAGATAACTTATACGCAAAAGTGCATGTCCTCAGACAAACCTGTATCCTTGACCTTAGTCTTGGACAAGCTCACTGACCTTGGTGCACTCTTTAACTCATAGTGGTCGCAGTCTTTCATGTTTGTAGGACTAAAAAAAGCATTGCGGAAATTCATGCACAAAATACGTTTTTTTTTGTTTTGTTTTTTTTTCCTCCTACTTTCCTTTTGTCATCTAATCATAACTAAGAAATAGTAAAGAGTTTATTAAGGAGTCTAATGTCTTAAAAGAGCTAATGCTCAAGTTTCATGTTGTCTTTGTTGCCTCGTCTCTGGTGACATGATGTCAGTCTGTTTCACCTACTGCTGGGATTAAAACTAGCAAGTAGAACCAGAAATTCAGCTTTTTGTTCCTTGGTTACCAGCAGGAATGCACAGATGCTAATATGGTTACTTAGCAATCAGTGTCTAACAAAAGCTGAACTAACCGACTAATAGCCATGTGTAATAAAGTCTGACTCACTAACTCAAGGTTGCATGTTTCTTGAAATATGAAGAGAGCAGCATTAGTTACCAGGCCTTTGAGTCATCACATAAGATTTCTCGTTGGGATTGACCCTTGTGAAGGCATCAGGATCCTATCCGTGGCTCTTGGCATTGTTCTGTGACCTGCAGAATTCCTCGGCTTGTGTTTTGTGCCAGGTGTGCCTCGTTTCACCCACAGCCAGGAGAAGGATTTAGCGGAGATAAACCAGTTACATATTCAAGTAGTCGACAGCAGCCTGTGTTCAGCAGGTGCTTATGCAACGCTATATCTGCTGAGGCTTAGAGGGGCTCTGCAATGCATAGACATGTAACCTATTTCAAGTTGACACAAAAAGGGGGGGACCAATAAGCTCTTGCCGGCTATCCTGATTCGTAACCAGAGTAGCATGCTGATACTCGGAGATGTGCCTGTCCAGGGCAGTTAAGACTGAAACATAACAGTGTAGCACAATCTAACTATAGCATTATTCAAAAGGAATTAGTTTTACATGGGGAGGTGGCCTAATGTCATTTTTACTGGCGTTTCCCTATGATTTTGGTACTGTTACAGTGCACCACATCAGTCATTTTTACAGACTGAATTTTAAAGATTCAGCTGTCTTTTACGTCTATAAAATGAAGAATAGAAATGACCCCAACTAGATTGTTAGGTTAAAGGAAATAATGGCTAAATCAATTGTTTTGACATGTTTTCTGCTCTTTTCTGGAATAAAGGCAGTGTGCAAATCGAATAGCCACTCCTATCTCTAACTTATACCGAGATTTCTTGTCCAATTCGAGTTGTTCTCAAACATTAGACGCCCTATTGTAAATTTAACATTATTACCCCACCTCCCCTTGGAGAACTAATATCCTCCAAATAGTACTTATGTGTCATGAATAAAAAGCAGGTAATCATTGCAGAAAGCCTGGTACCTGCAGCATGTCTCTCTTGTCCCTGTTCCACCTGGCTCTCACCCATGCAGTCCGCAGCACAGATTGATGGCTTTCAGTGTTGGGGATAGGCACTCATGTCTCCGCTGCCCACCCTAGGCACTAGCAATGTAAACCAGTAACCCAGATTTAATTGGGTGCCCATTTATCAACAGATCCAGAAGTTCTTGATGTGCATTGAACTGCAGTACTTCATCATTTATGTGGCTGAGTAGGTCAATCCATTACGCACTAGATGCATAAACCAGTTTTGGACTCTTTGCCAAATAATTGCCCTTTATTTTTTGAAGAGCTTCGTTGGTCGTTATCATATCTGAGGAGTGATACATCACTGCTCGTTACATTGTTGTTGACTGCTCGTACAGTTCCTTCAGTTAAAGGAACACCTACACTCGAACATGATCGTTTTCTGTCAGTAGAGAAAGTACCGTAAATGCTTAGGGGAAAGATTTGTGCTTCAGAAATATTTTTTCTTTTCTTTGAAATGCGAGAGTGAAAGCTTTGATCCTGTCCGGGTGTCTTTTAAGGCAGTCAATTAGTTTGTTGGTTGTCAGATTAGCAAGTCGATCCAAAAAAGCCTCTGTGATTGCTAATCTGGTTTGGCCAGAGTTTCATGGCACTCATCGCCATCTCAACGGTGACCTTGACAACTGCTCCCAACAGGATTTCCATAGCACCTCAACTGCACCAGCATACCAACACATCCTGCCAGCAGCCCACAGCCATGTTGGAAAAAATCCGAGAAACCAAAGACTTAAAGCCACTTGGTGGCCCTGATACGTGCCCCACAAAGCCTGCAGAGGCTGATGGATGCCTGAAAGAAATGCAAAGAGGCCATTTTTGGACAACATTTGATTTCCACTGGATCAATAGGCAGCCTGTGTGTGCTAGCCTTTTGTTTAGCCTCCTTACAGGATAACTTGTTACAGGGAGGCAAGGTCTCCCCTTTGAAAGGCAGAGAGAAAAAGCGCTTAGAGCAATAAATAACCCGCCGTTATCAGGGACTGCTTGGAGGAAGAGGATGCAGCTGGACGAACAGGCCTGTAGGCCGAGACGGGCGCCCGGGCTCTCCTGGAGCCTTTGAGCCGCTGGAAAGCGGGAGGCGCGAGGCGGGGCCGTCCCTGCATCGTTTGTTTTTCTTCGTCCGTTTCATCCCCTGTGACCACGCAGTGCGCCCTCCTTTGCCTTTAAAACCTTTCCTCTCGGCAGGAGTTCAAAACTGTCCCGCGACCCTTATCCATTTAAATCAATAATTTACAGACTAGAACCCCCGTAGAAAAATATTCATTTGTCAACAGGTCGAGGCCGGAGACATTTTCTTTTCATGTTACAGAAAGTCCTATAAACAATGACTCTTTTAACTACAAGAGGTTGTTGTTCAGCAAGACCTACCAGCGTTACCTTCCATGCCCACCTCAGAATTTGACAATGTGTTATGTATTCGTGGAAGCTAGTGAGTTGAGTTGTATTAAAACATGTAGAAAGCAAATTTTACCTTCCAGAGTTAAACCAGCACAGACAGAGAAATAAGATGTATTGACATGTAAGAGCTCTATAAAGTTTCTCTCTCTTGAATGTTTTCTTACAGGAAAGGACCTGTCCAATCGCAGTGAGACAGACCTCGCTTGCATCTTTGGGAAAAGATCAAAACAGGCCAGAAATGAGGAGGAGGTAAAGTGGTCTTATCTCATCTACTGTTTTGTCAAGTAATTGATTTGACTTGCCTTTTTTGCCTTAAAGCACCAAGAACCCAAAATTTCAGTCCTTTAAAACAGATGTATGGGGAAATAGTTATTGAGAATGATACAGATTGGCTAAGAGGCGTTAAAACTTTTGACCATGTTGTGAGTTTGAATGATTGCTCTGCAATATTCCTGGCAACTGCTCACTCCAGTTTAGTCTACCTGTAAGCACCACTGACCAGCTCTGGGTCACGTGAGCCGCCCGCGGCAGGATGTGGGCTGGTGATTAGCCATGTCATGGCGTGCAGTTGGACTCCGTGCAGGGAAAGCGCAGAAATCCCATTAACGGATTAACACCCCCACTCTCCCTGTCCACCACCCTCCCCCCACTCGCCCCCACTGCGGTCACATCAGGTACCGTTCTTTAGTCAGCGTGCTATCCGTTACCATCCCTGGACGTTTGTTGCCTGCTGTCCTTCAGGGCATGGGAAATGATGAAATGAGCAAAAGGAATTTCCGATGACACTCTTAAATCCCTGGAAAGTTAGTTTAAAGTTCGGGGATTACACTGCCAAGTTGTTTTTGGCTTATGTGGCTCTTTGGTTCAGTAGAGTTAACTTGGTTTGGTGGTTATAATGCATCACAACCTATAGAGGTCCTTATGTGTTATAGGTTCTGTTTAGCTTGACTTTATGCCTCGTACCTGTGGCTTGTGAACAAGCATGCCAGTGTATTTGCCCTTAGATGTTTTAGCATCAACTCTTTATTGCTCAGGCTTTGTTTTGGGTAAATTCTTTCATCATAAGAACATGGATCGTTTCTTTTTTTTTCCTTTTGTGGTTTTATTTCTTAATTAAAGTAATTCCTTCATGCATAGAGCACTTGGCAGAAAACATATAGCACAGATAATTGCCAGGTTGTGAAAAATTAAGGCTGTTAACATCTCTGCTTGGTGTTACAGGTGCTCTTCGACATTTTCTGTTTTGATTTCAGCCGTTCAGTTGCTAAGTGCCAGTGTTTACTCAGGGAAGATGGAAAACATGGCCTCAGGCGGGCACATAAATCTTAGCAATTTTTGTGTGTTGTGTGTGTTTAATTCTTTGGATAAACCTGGTAAGTTGGATCCGCTGATTCTTGCAGTCGGATATTTGCACACTGCAGTAGAGCTGAAAGGAAGGCTTTCATCGTAAGAAAGATGCCTATGGACTGTTCACTAAAGGGCATCTAATTTGTCACGTACATGGAGAATTCATCATGTTAATAAAGGTGGAAGTAAATGAGGCTCATGATAAAATCTAATAGATGTATGTCGGAGCTTTTTAACCATCAACCAGCTGGAAGAAATTGATGTTTCAAGTCCTTAGTTTGCGCTAAACACCCTCCTTACTGAGCAAAACTACACACAATAGCCATCGTTCCTTCTGTGCCCAAAATTGGAAATGTTAGCAGCGTGTTATTTTTTTGTCCCCAGTAATCGTTTTGTTCCGGTTTGTTATTGTGCTGTTCAGGGGGGACTTCATTGACCGGATCGAAAACCAATCTGAGCAGAATCACAATGGCATCCCAGGAGGCTGTGCAGCGAGGGCTGGTGGCAAGCCCAGGAAAAGAGCGGGCAGTTAGGCCTGCAGAGGAAGTGTGGATGAGGAGGAGGTTGTATTATGTTTGTGTTTGCGAGGCATTGAGGCCAAATGAGGTGTAATTCTTTTTGTTTTTTTTTACTGCGGCTAGTGTGGGAGCTGTATCCTTGAGTAAGTGGCGTGCACCCTGAGGCTAATATCTTATAAGAAATAGTTTCGGGAAATGGTAGCGGGAAATAATTTGCGAGACAGTGAATCACATTTTCGGAGGGGACGTGTAGAGGGTTCTGGTAACACTGTGTATCACACTAAATTACTAAAGCAATTAGCATATTGAGTCATTATTCTGTTTTTTAGTGTAGAACAGGTAGCAAGTAAGGAAAATGGAGCTGAAGGCTGATTGTTAAGGCTGTGCGATGGCTTGCTCCAGGTTTTGGCAGCGTTCTTTCCCACCTCTTGCACCAGGGGTTTTCCTCTCTCTTCGCTCAGCTTCCTGCCAGCCCCTTATCTCTTGTCACAGTGCTCCCTGACACACACACACCACACGCACGCACATGCACACACTCACAAAAGCCTGTCCCAAATCACCCCTCGTCTGCCGGACGCTCTGTTACTTTATTTAAGAAAGGCTGTGTAGAGAGGAGCTGTGTGAACCACAAGGAAATCATATTTTAGTTTAGGGCCTGGTCAATATATTGGCTGGGCAATAATAATTGGCAATATTGATTTCTTGACAATTTAACCAGTGTCTGTAAAATTCCAGCTGATAATTATTGGCTGCCTAGTATGATCATGATTCTCTGATGTGAAGGAAACTCTCAGAAAAGTTAATTGCATGATCTGACCTTTCTGATGATGCGGCTGCTGCTGCATAAACTGAAACTAATCTAATTAACTATTTCTTCACCTGTTTTTTCCCCATTTTGTATTATGATATTTTATACTAATGCTGTTTGCTATCCGGTGTCGACCAGAGGAGGATGGGTTCCCCTTGAGTCTTGGTTCCTCTCAAGGTTTCTTCCTCTTGTTCTTAGGGAGTTTTCCTTGCCACTGTCTCCATTGGCGACGCTCATGGGGGCTTGGACCCGGATTTTTCTGTAAAGCTGCTTTGTTCTGTAAAGCGCTATATAAATAAACTTTGACTTTGTCTTAATTGCCACATATCTGTGTGAATAACAGCGATACAGGTTGAACTGATACTTTGGAACTCAAAACACCATCATAAACACGAAAAACGGCAATAATTTAGACACTGGTCATTTAAAACTATTGACAGCATATTGGTATTGATTGATGTCAGTATCAGGCTGATATCGGCAGAAAATGTTAGATTGGATATCAGGGGGAAATTATGAATCTAATCCAATCCTGTAACAGATCTATGAAAATATCACACCTTCAGCTCTATATTTCTTCTTGTGGGATAATAGTGTTTGAGTAGTTTGAGCATGATGTCCTACTTTTAAATGCTCATCTTAAGTGAAGTGTTTCAGTTTAGAACAGCTTGTTTTAAGGTTTAGTCATTTTGTAGGAAAAATGTTGGATCCTTATAAATATCAGCTGATATTAAAAATTAAGTTTGGTGAAACAGTGTGTTCTCATGCCATCTCTGTTTAAAATGCATCCAAACCTAACCTTATGCATGAGGATAACTTATGATAACACTAAAAAAAAAGCTTCAGTGACTATTTCATTGACGGCAACAAATAAGAAGCGAAACCAAAACTGCACAAAATTGAGAAGCTCTCCCCATTCAGCCTTATTTATTTACATTTGGCAGCTGATATCAGCCAGAGAAGCACTGTATACAATTTAAATGTAGCATGTAAATGTAAGATATAAAATGACGACAGCTACTGTTATCAGTATTTTTAGCGTCTTTGTGACCAATTGTTACTGCTCACAAAATTGTCATATCTCTTAGACCCTAGTTCGGGTAGCACTGTTTAGTTTGCTTTTGTTTCCCCACAGAGTTGATTTTAATGATACTTAATCTTGCCTTTTCCTAAACTGTGGAAACAATTAAACTTTGCATGACACAATTTTGCAAACATGGAATCTCTTAATCATAGTTCCTTGAGTAAGGCTCAGGCAGAAATGCAACCTTTGTGGTGGGTTTGGAAGGCCTGGCTTGGCATTAGAGGCGTCAGTGTGCTGCTGCAGTAACCATGTGACTGCAAGAATGTAGCAGCTGTCCATCTGCAAGCCAAACAGTGATCCATCACTATATCATACTCACCACACCACAATGCAGAGACGACAGAGAGACGGGCTCCTCTGGAAGGAGCCAAACAGGGTACTTGGTGGCAGAACACTGTTCATTTTACAGGCAGAGAGAGAGAAAGACTGCCCCTGCCATATGTCACATCTTTTTTTTTTTCCCTAGGGGATAAAAGGGAAAATGTCATTATTTTTTCCATCTGATATTTTGTAAAAACAAACAATAGTTACAATGAACAATCAAGTCAAATCAAATCAAGCTTTACACACAGCCATACACAGTGTAACATGCAGTGAAATCCTTATATGACTGTCCGATGATATGAAAAATATAAGGTAGGAATATTTTTGAAAGGGGGGGGTCGAAGTTAACGTTGTACTGTAGGACTTGTTTTCTTTAGCTCAGTAGTTAGGAGGTAAAAACAATTAGTAGCACTAACTTAGATGCATGCAGAGGAATACACTTGAAATGTTTTATTTTTCAAAAATGTAAAAAACACAGACATGAGCTGGCCATGCTGTCTCTTTCTACTCACATTCTTATTTACATGCTCACGTTAAATCGCTCATGTTTTCTAGTAGCGAAGTACGTAATACACTTTTTTTTGCTAGTACAAGTGAAACTGTGTTGTTTTCTGTTCCATTAAAGCATAAAATCAGCATTTCATTGCTAGCCTGTATATTTTCTGTTCTGCAGTGGAACAAAGTGATGCACCTGACATGGAAAATCATTGGTCAAAACTAAAATTCAGGTTCACTTGGCTGAGAACAAAACCAAAAACTGAGGAAGCTGACAAACTTACTAAAGTTATTGCAGCATGACGAAATCCGTTGTTTTTCGTGTTTTTTAGGTCATCCAAGGCAGTGAATTATGCTATTTTTTTTGTTATGGTTTGATTGATTGTTTGTTTGTTTGTTTGTTTGTTTAAGTTATACTTTGCATTTTAGCACTGTCCTTAGTAAATTAATCATTATTATTATTATTATTATTATTGTTTTTGGTTATTTAAAAAAACTGAGGCTACAGACTTCCATTTCTGCTTCTGCTGTTTTGCTATATTCTACATATCAAACAGGATTTTGTGGTGTCAGAGAGATAAAGGAGAATTTCTTGGTCACTGTATCCCTTCATGATACCTGACATGAGCAGAGAATGTAAATCTAATGTCCCTTTTAGAAACTGTGAAACAGT